AAAATTGATACAGTCAATTAATTTAATAATAAATTAAAAACATTTAATAAATCAAATGTGTTTTATGTTATGTTTTTCTTCATGGAATTAATTTGATTCAATTAATAGCAATTTAATTAACTTTCCTTATTTATATGTAACAAGCAACAAATATTTATGAGTTATGATATTTTGAAAATCATTTAAATAAAACTGTTTTCCTGGAAATCTCTAACTCAGAGCGGGCTGTACGCGATTACACAACGTTTCCTGAAAATGGTTAAATTGACGTCGACGACAATTCTATATAATCTTCATGCACATCTGTGGTTATATAAGGCAGATATCACTTTCTTTAATCCGCTTCACTTCTCGCGATACTTAATATCTTCTAATGTTGCAGACGATTGTAACAAACCGTATGTATTTAATTATTTTTTCTGGTCTTTTAGGTGGCAATGGTGGAACTGCAAATAAATGAACCGACGGCGGTTCCGGAATGGCTATTTGTAATGTTCGCCGTTTGTACCACTTTCTTGGTATCAGTGCACATCTTTGCACTGATGATCAGCACGTATCTTTTACCTAATATCGAAGCCATAAGTAAGCTTCAAGTTTCACGACTCATAACGGAGTCACCCCACGAGAGGATGCGCGGTTTCATCGAATTGGCTTGGGCATTTTCCACGATACTCGGACTGTTTCTCTTTCTAGTAGAAGTGGCTATTCTCTGCTGGGTCAAGTTCTGGGACTATTCCTTTACCGCTGCCACTGCCAGCACCATAATAGTCATTCCCGTGCTCATAGTATTCGTCGCTTTCGCTGTTCACTTTTATCACTCTTTGGTAGTTTACAAATGTGAAAGTGTGGTATCAGATATGAAGGATTTGGAGAGTATAAAAAGGAACTTGGACAACGTGACGATAGGGCAAACTAATGTGTAAGTTCGAGATAATAATAATAATAATAATAGAACCTGTAATAATATATTATGCGTACAAATGATTATCCTGAATGAAAAAGAATGCATTAAAGTTAGGCTGATAAATAAGAATATCGAATAATGCTTCTATCCGAGTATAAATTAATTTGTGACAGGCAGGAATACTCAGGTTTAAAATAGGTGCTGTTCTTCAATTTAAAATTTGTATCTTTAATGAGAATGACATAAAAAAAAGAACACTATGTGTGGATTTGTTATCAATAATTTTACTTTTCAAACGCGACCATATGAAAATGGTCAAGTTTTATTATATATAAAAATGTACATAGCTGTACACATGCAAGTCGAGAATTGCAACAGTACAAGCGAGTGCTCTTTAGTATATCACCTATATATAATATCCAGCATTTAATAATATCTGTGTGTATACGGTTTAACTCTTGATTTTTATTTAAACCTGTTCCTTGATCATTCTATTACTATCATATGTCATGTCGCTAATATACATATATAGTATCTTTTATTACCGCGACACTTAGTTTGCGGAAAAACTGAAGGATAATTGAGTACTCATTTATGTACACTTCCTGAAATTTACATAATTTTTCTAGTCAATAAATAAATCGTCAAAGTTTAGGATGTCCGGTGAAAAATGTGGTTTCTTACTCTAATGTTACGAAAAAAATAAAGATATAATTAACGTATCTCTCTCTCGTTTTTACCATAAACTAAGTTGTAATCTTATTATAAACGGTTTCTATAATATTATGCCTTAACTTCTTTTATATAATACAAAAACACTCGATCGAAGGAGTCGTTGTAAGCAAAACGGGGAAATATAATTACTTTAGTACAACAAAAGTATTATGTGATACCTGTTGTTATAAATTACAAATTGTATTGCACTAATCTATGTCCGAAAACTTGAACGTTTCCTTAAAGATACATGCTACATCGTATTGAAAATTCATTGCATTCGATTATTTTTGCTTAATAAGCAAAATCTCAAATTTATAGAGGCATTACGCAGATCTTATTGTAAAGTTTGCCTCTTGAGAACCATTATGTACATTGGAAGAGAAAAAAATCAAAACGTACATTACAGAAATATAAATGTCATGTTGCAATACGTAACTTGATAGAAAAGAGAAAAAATACTGTTGAGAGATAAATTGATGATTTGAGCATTAGCCATTGTTGAAAACTATTCTTTAAGAAATTACATTCTAAATTGATTAAAATCAATTTTACAAACGCATCTTTGTAACTTTCTGATAAAAAATAAGTGGAAGTAATTAAAATATATTTTATTACTTATATATATATTTTACTGATTTGTAATTATTATAAAATATAAAAAATTGATTTGATTGATGTATATGTAACAATGGAGAATAAACTGCTTGTGCTATGGACAGGTAAAGAAATGAAGAATGAGATAATATTCAAAACAATTATTCTAAAAAAGTAACAAGATGATATTAGAGAAATATTTTATTTTTGTAGGATAAAATTCAAATTCTGTTTTTCTGTTTTTAACTTTACTTCAAAATACCAAATAATTTACACATCTTCTCTTTATTATATTTTTTATCGACTAAAAAAATATTTTTAAATTTTTTAAAAATATTTTTTTAGTCGATAGAAAATATAATAAAGAGAAGATGTGTGAATTATTTGGTATTTTGAAGTAAAGTTAAAAACAGAAAAAATAATCCGAAGAATCGCTAATTATGGACTATTATTTTGACGTACGTATAATTTATAATTCGCTGATTATAATGATACAAAAAATGAGTCAGGCGTTAAATATGTGATTAATCTGTGATTATGAGTTTTACGTAACTTATTATTATAAGAAATAGTATGAGAGCAGTTGTAGTTCCATCTTTCTTACATATATATATAGTATAATATTATTCTATCAGAATATATTATGTTATTTTTCATTAATCTCTACGATATTGTAGATTGATCTAAGAGAATGATAGAATAGAAAAACTTGTTTATTTCTTTCAGAAGAGTCACTTAATAAATTGGCTTTCGTCATATTATCTTCAGTCTTGTCCTTAAATAAACATATAAAGTCTTTCTGACAGCCTATCCATAGCAAGAGCTTGTTTAGAAAGTCTTTTTATTTAAACAAACCTTCCTGTATTTAATTAATTAACTTTAACAACGCAGTTTCGCGCCTTTTTCTTCTACTTACACGTGGAGAATGACAATAAACTCTACTTCCGAAATAGACTTATTAACAAACAAGTAGCAAAACAAAACATGGTATCGAAAAGCGTGCCATTAATTATCGCAAATCGCAAAACTTTGTGCCCCCTTGAAAATTTACGAAAATGATAATAAATATATACAATTATTTTTAGTATTACTACTTTGCTCAGCGTTAAACCAACTTTAAAACAAAGTCACAACCTACACATATATGTGTATTGGATTCTTATTTAAATATTTAAACAGTTTATAAATCATCCTATTCATAGCTACACATTCGCAAGTAATTCGATTCTGGTTGAGTATAGACAGTATAGTGAATCAAAATAGTATTCTGTGATGAGTCTTTCTAGTCATTTGTAATTGAATGTTATGGGAATAATATTTAGTTTTCTATGTTTTGTTCGATTAAAAGTAAATATTTCGAGAATATATTATTTCTTACGAAGATTTTTTTTTTCTACAGTATAAGTAAAAGATCTTCCTTTGTTCATTAAATTAACCATATGATATATAGAATTTTTAGCTATTATTTAGTTCGAAATGACGATAATTATCGGTTGCGATTATCTACTGTGCACAATATCTATCCATATACTTAACATCAAGTTAAGACACAGAAAGAATGCCAATATGTATACAAGGTCCCATTTTAAATAATGCATTAAGATTTCTTGAAAACTATGGTAGATACGCAAAAATGTTTCAAACAAAAGTTGTATGGTTTGGAGGGGGACGTAAGAAAGTACCATTGATTTGACCTTGAGTGGCGTATGTTAAGGTCAGGTTATTGGTCACATCGATTTTTGTAAATGGAACACCATATTTTTGAATTTAATAGCTGGTATCAAGAGCTTTTCAAAACACTATAATAAAGTTATTTTTCATCAAGTACTTTTCGAGTTATAAGGCTTGAAAGTTACAGTATCGCCGACAAATGTTAATTAGTATTAACATTTGTCAAGATCAAAGTCATTGGAGATTGTACTTCTCATTTTCATTTTTACGTAAAAATGAATTCTTAGTGCAAAAATGAAAATAAGAGGAAAATAATCTCCAATTGCCTTGATCTTGACAAATGTTATCCAGGACATGATCCTGAACAACATTCAAGAGGTTTTAGCCATTGATCAGACACTTTGCGTAATGTTAATGCCGGCGGTATTGTAACTTTCAAGCCTTATAACTTGAAAAGTACTTAATAAAAAATAACTTTATTATAATGTTTTGAAAAACTCTTAACATCAGCTATTAAATTCTGGCATCAAAAGTAGGATGTTCCATTTTAAAAAATCAATTTGACCTTGACCTGACTTTAACGACGCGACCCAAGGTCAAATCAATGGTGCCTTCTTATATCCCCCTCCGAATACAACTTTTGTTTGAAACATTTTTCCGTATCTACCATAGTTTTCGAGAAATCTTAAGGGGATCCTAAAGCCGTCTGTATTACCGACTAAATCGTAATTTTTGTATAACAAATACTTTTTTCTCTTTCACAGATTCAAAAATCCTTTTCCAGGATTAAAGTATACACGTGTTTTTGTGAAGTGGAATTTATGCCGAAAACGACAAAAAATTTCGAATTGAAAAATCTTAAGAAAAATTTTTTGTCGTTTTCGACATAAACTCCACTTCACAAACATGTATTAATGTGTATACTTTAATCGTGGAAAAGGATTTTCGAATCTGTGAAAGAGAAAAAAGTATTCGTTATACAAAAATTACGATTTAGTCGGTAATACAGACGGCTTTAGGATTCCCTTAATGCATTATTTAAAATGGGTCACAACCTGTATATTATATATATATTATATATAGATATAAATATATATATTATATATATGTCATTTGGCATTCTTGAAATATTCTCAGAGATCTCCTCATCCTCTATTATTTCAGTAAAAAGTTCTTTGCACCGCTAACATTACATTCGTGACATTATATTACATTTAAATTATTTATGCGGTATGTAATGTATTTTTATACATGTATTTTTGAATCGCAAATAATCATATTGATTCTTAGATCTGATTTATTCTCTGTATGTCATACTGACTTTGAAAAGAATGCGAACGAATTGCGCACATGCGTATGTGTAGAAAAAATTACTTACATTAAATGACGTTGATGAAAATAACAATGTGAAATTATATGAGGGTGAATTTCATGCAAGAATTTTGCCTCCGATACAACATAATATACAAAGACCCATGACTCTTGTCAAATGTCCATATATTTAAATCCATGACTCTTCTTGTCAAACGTCTATATGTGTAGAAGGTTGTTGAGATATGAATGGTTCACTCCACATCCGACGTAAATCTCCCTGAAAATAAACAATTAACACATATAATCTTATGTATTTTATTTTGTACATCATTTTGGGACATATATACATTTTTTTTATAAAACAAAGTATTGCTAAGGATCTAATTTTTCGTAATTGTGATAAAATTCGACATCATTTTTTAAATTATTTTTTAATTAAATTTACGAATATTACATATATGTTCAGATTATATACATACACACACACACACACACACACACACACAAGGCGTCCGGTAAATTTTGACAAAGTGCTCATATGTAGATAGAACGGACTAAACTGAGTCGAAAAGTCTTCGACCATTTTGCAATTTTCGCAATAGTTACAACAAGATATTAATTAATTATTAAAAGTCGCTGAATATTGATTTTCAATAATTTTTTACTCAAATACTATCAACTTTACAGAAAAACAGCAAGCGACAAAAATTGCTTATTTTCTTCTCATAAAGTTCTGAGAATTTTTTTCTGAATTTTTTAATACCGTATTTTCTCATGTTGGTAAAAATAATTGCCAATAAGAAAATGCAATACTAAAAAGTTGATAAAAAAATTCTGAAAAAATTCTTAGAACTCTATGAGAAGAAAATAAACAATTTTTGTCCCTTGCTGTTTTTCTGTAGAGTTGATAGTACTTGAGTGAAAAATTATTGAAAATCAATATATATATTCGGTAATTTTTAGTAATTAATATCTTGTTAACTATTGCGAAAATTGCAAAATGATACAGGACTTTTCGACTCAGTTTAGTCCGTTCTATATACACACAAGCGCTTTGTCAAAACTTATCGAATATTCTGTGTATGTATGTATGTTGTATATATATATATACCTATATATATCTTCATTTATATATATTTTTATGACCGATTTAGAGAATCAACTTTTCTTACGAAGAAGTAAAGAAAGTATATTTTTCATAAGTTTCTACAATTTGTTTAACATTAAATATCTTTTCTTAAATCATAACTATAATAAAATATTGGTTTGTAATTAAGAAAAAAATGTATTTTATTATCTATTTACTTTTTGTAACTTTGTTTCAAAAAATCTCTATTTTTAAGATTTTATTTAGTTTTAGTAGTTAAATCTCAAATTGTAGATACTAAGAACAGAATTTATATAAATACATCTTTAATTTAAAATAATTTTCCAAACAATTTATCATAATTTTTTACTTTTATCTTAAAACACAATCTTTGTATATACATCACATTAGACTATATAAAAAACATAACGGTACCTTCAAATACGCCATTGTGAGCAGCGGCAACAAAGTGAAGGGCACAAGGTACAATAAGGCAGGCTGTGCAGCTTTGAACACCTCAGAGCTTACAGTGGCGGTGAGTAGACCAAGAAAATAACCAATCAAAGAGCAATGAAAATAACTAATTCGGCTGAAGTGGCGCGGCGGTGGTACTCCAGTTTCGCAGCCGCCGGGTAATAGCTGAGTCTTTTTGTATGCGTCGTATCGCAGAACAAAACAGAGCAGTAGGCCCGGCATGACAATATCGCCGAGGCCCAACATTGAAAAATGTCCCGCTTGATGTATCGATGGAAAAACTAATTTTCCAGGTAAAGGTAATTTTGGCGCGGCTCTCGCCACACCGCCTAAGTGTAATCTTCTAGCCACGAGACTTACTGGATTATCTGCAGGCCTAGTTGCTACCTATGATAATAATAAGAAAAACAAGTTATACATATTTTGTATCACTGTTACATATGTGATATTCTGTGCAAAAAATAATCTTTAATGGACACATTGTACAATTCCGTTTATTATTATCTTACAAATCATCATAAAAAAAATACTGCATGCAAAATCACATAATAAATTTATTTGAAAAGAATACAATATGTTCTTTATCGTAAATAATGCCTTGATAAGATTTAACATTTAATAAAACTTACCTTAACCATTACGTTTGTGCTGAATATGTAGGACGAAAAGAAAACCCAGAAGACATCATAAATCAGCAGTCCGGTTAATAACAATGTGGATACCTTGAGACTAGGTAGTCGAACAAATGCAATAAACGCCACGCACAGGCCCATACCCATTGCATCCATCAGCAGCCAATGTCCAGTTAAAACCCAGATGCATACTATACTCACACTGAGCGAAAATGAGAGTAATTCCGCACCCGTAAATCTCCCACAGACACCGAAAGATATTTTGTTACCATCAGAACACGGTCTAATGATATACTGACACATGGGCAATAACAGAAACGCCAATGCAACTGTAGCTATAACTGCAAAGAAACAGTATAATTTATGATGATGTAGACACACATATACCAAGTGCTTTACATCATTGGGTGCTTTCCAATTGTATAATAAAATCATTAAGACACTTTTGTGCACACAATGACACAAGTGTTCCGATTTGTGTTCCAATTATCATAATCATCAACATAATACTAGACATCCGTACTCAGCTCGAAAACTACTAGTCGGCTCAGTAAGCTTGTCTTTTCTAGTGACAATTACATATCACTAATCATCGTAGCTATAAATGAGGAGACTGGAAGTCTCCTCTAACTGGAGAAGCAGAATGGTCTGTATTTTTGCCTTTTTTCATTCTATACAGGTAAAAGAACTTACATTTACTCTAACTCTATGGCTATGTTCCGATATACACTGCCAGCACTGAAAATCTATAGTGTATGTAACACGCGCTATAGATTTTCAGTATTTGCAGTGTATAACGGAACACAGACTATCTGAAACTGTGCACAATGTACACATTTTGTTCCAATAGAATCCGTGCCTAATGCTTGTGCCTTCTTGTGTACGCTTGTGTTATGATGTATTAAGCAATTGGAAAGTACCCATATAGTATAATAATGCTTATTCCAAGTTAAATTTGTTATCAAACGTACTGGCAGTACAAATTGCAAGAAGCATCTGCATACTGTCAAAAAAGAAAAACATGATGAGTAGAGAAATGGAAGCACCGAGAGGTAGACAGAGAGCATGCATCGTATCGAGAGTTTGAATTCTTCCTCCGTTAATGCAGTCCGGATTACCGGCGCTACTATTACTAGTAATCCCAGTCAATAAATTACTACGTTCCTTCTTTCCCTTGCCTCTTGCTCCATGTTTAGAGATCGGAAACTACCGTAAACTATCAGTAGAATTGATATTAGGAAAGTGGATATCCTGGATGAATCCATTATAGAATAAGCCCTGTAACGAGTCACAATAATATGATTGATACGTAACTAGCAAAAAGAATGACATAGAAATATCAATGAAAGATAAGACATGCACTAACCACTGGTAGTCAACTTGATACGTGGCCATGTTTAAGAATGCCTGGCCGCAGCACTCAAGCGCTATGCCAGAACACCTCCTGACATTTAGATGTCCGTTGTTCAAGTGCTTTTTACTTGCACTAACCTATATCAGAGATCATCTGCTACTAGAAAAGGAAGAGATTGAACAGCGTTAACTCTGATTGATCAACATTCATCACGGCAAGGCTGTCAAAGAACTCAAAACTCAATTTGCTCGAAACATACCTGGTATCCCTCGAGTACAGCATTATTGGCGAATGGAATTAGGCCTGTGGAAGCCTCAGGTCACCACCTTAGCGGCGCAATGTAAGGAAATAGAAAGATTCTAGCGTGAGCTTACAGTGCGGACGGCGCGCGGATTGAGGACAAGCTCGGTGCAGGGAGACGAATCAACGACATCGCGAAACACTCGGTCTAGCGTAATACCATCGCGCGGCTAGGAGGCGATCGTCATAGCGTGACTGTCCCCGCGTCGAGTTTTGGCATCTCCCGCGATCGCATCCACTTTCCAACTTTCGCCCGTAAAGATGCACTGCTTGCGTGGCGTAGTGGCGAAATTGAACGCCAGCCCGAAAAGAACACAAACGAGAAACGGGGCCGACGACGAAGATGATGATGGACGACGCACACAGATCGACTCGTCCAGGACGCGAGAGGACGCGACGCGCGACGCCGCGGCCGTGTCGACTTGTCGAGACGATTGGAACGCCGACGGCCGAGCTTGCGAGCTGCACTGCGTGCGCTCTATCTCTCTCTCTCTCTCTCTCTCTTCGCTTCGCGCACGTAGCGTAGCACAGCTGATCGCAGCTATTTACGCAACCGAGCTTACCGAGCGCCGCGCGGCCGCTCCCGTGCGGACGGAACGCAGTGCCGTTCGTATCGCACCACGGACGTTCACCATTTTGGTAAACACTCGGGTCACGTGATCCCCCGCTGGACCTGGCTCCCCCCAAGAGGTTTGCTACTCCCTTTACTCCAGAAAATCGCTCGCGCCTCGCGCTCGCCTCGCGACGCGACGCGACGCGACGCAACGCGACCGAAATCTCGTCTCACGCCTGCGACGCGGCTCTCACCTGGGCGATCCGAAGTCTGGGCCCGCCGCAGGACTTTACATCACCTCATCGGCCTACCGTGAGCGGTCGTACAAGCGACACGAAAACGGGACCGTAGTAAGTACAACGACACGCTGAGTATCTATCGGCGATCAGTCGCGATCAGTGCTGATCAGTGCTGTGTGATCAGTGCAACCACCAACCACGACACGACCAGACTGATCAGACACGACTCACACGACCACGGACCACCGGGGGCACCAGGCAGCGGGCACTGCACTGTTACCGCACTGTAGTCTCTACCGCGCGCCGCGGTGAGAAATTGAAAACTGTTGAGAACTACTGCACAGGTCAACCACTGCTCGAAGGCTCGAGCGAGCGCAAGCAAGCGCAAGTCTGTCGCAAAGCACGTCTATCGGGTGTTTAGAAAACCCGTCGTCCTGCAAGCGTACGATTGCCAATTCATCCGATACGAGCAGATACGAGGGAACGAAAACGTTTCAGCTATTTTTTTTTTTTTTGCATCTTTCATTACCGAAATTTAAGCACTAAAGTATCCGCTTACACTTTAATTTATTCTCATCGGTCTAATTAAGAATTATAATTATTGTTTATACCCATACAGCACTAAACGTTCATAGAACATTTTAAGAATGTACAAATATTCTTAGAACGTTCATATACGTTCTATTAATGTCGTGTGCTATCTGGGTATATAACACACTTCTCTTCGAAAAACGACGTTTTTTCCATTAGTTATTGGTTATATTGCGACAAATATTTCCGAAACCTTGATGATTGAATTTTTGCACCTTAATTTTGTACTATTTTCTCTTAAATCTATTTTAAGAATGTCTAAATTTATAAAGCTCAATTTAGACGAGTCACAATTCGTGATAGAAACCAAAGGCGTTTAATTTTTATTACGCGAATTTTGACACGCGTATAATTTTATATATGTATCTATGTATGTGGTTTATATATATATTTATATATACATATGTATATATGTATATATTAGACTGACAAGGAAAAAAGAAAATATTTTTTTTAATCGGCCTCAACTCAAAAGCTTCCATTTCATGCCAAAAGAACCCCCTAAATTTTTATCAAAAAATATTAGAGAAAGATTTAGAGGTCGCTAGTCAACGATTCTTAAAACAAAGTTTTGATTCTCCTTAAGACATGTTTGATATTTGATGCAAAAATAGCTTAAATGTGGTACTGTGTGTTTTTTGGTCGCTGAACACGATGCAATAATTCATTTAGCTCTACGATATATACCTTCAGAAATACAATCAGATTAATGTGAAAAAATGATCAAATTTCGATTTCAAGGTCGATTTAAAGTTCTAAGCGATCAAATGGGTCGTTACTCCCCTCAAATTGTAGGTCTGTTCACCCAGAACAAGATCCAGTTGAAATTTTCTCGGGATCTCCTACAGGACCTTTAAAAATTGCAACATTAACTGGATGGCAATGGCACGTGTTTATTTTTGTTTGAAGTCAGAATGCAATTGCGTTGCGTGTTTACATGCTTCTTGCTTGCTTTCCAGCAAGGACATAATGGTCGCGTTCAGCAGACTCAACTGTTGTGGAGCGGATCCGTGAGCGCTCACTGCTATTGGTGTATTCTTTTAGATCCCGTCATCCAATAGCAGCGAGAGCTCATTGATCCGCTCCGCAACAGTTGAGTCTGCTGAACGCGACCAATGGCTACGTTTACGCCGTGCATTTAGGCCGCGGCCTATACAATAGATGTCCTTGTTTATCCTATAGGTTAAACAAAGGCTGCGGTCCACTTGACGCTACAAACGCTTCGAAGCGTTTGTAGCGTCAAGTGGACCGCAGCCAAAGACACCTATCGTATAGGTTGCGGACTAAACGCAAAGTGTAAACGTAGCTATTCAGACACTGGGTGCATTCAGTACCACGACCTCTCACTGAGCGCTCAATGAGCTCTTGTATCTGTTTGGTCTATATTTTTAGTTCTAACGGAATATGCCAATAAGATGCAAGCGCTCACTGAGCGCTCAGTGAGCGGTTGTAATACTGAG